GTTAATTAGAAGATTAAGATCAAATTTCATTAATTTAGCAAGAATTGAAATCAGTTAAACTGTTTTTTGACTTTGAATATTTATTTTTGATTCCTTCTTCGCAAAATTAAAATGATTGATTAGCAGATTCTAAGCATCTAAGATCATTAATTATTTTATCACACTCCGAATTTTACTTTCAAAAATAAAACAAGGAGTTCATTTTTCTGACATGATCAAAATGATTTATATGAGCATCCTTTTTAAAACATTCATACAAATTAATCGAAAGCATATCAAATCAATCTATTCCTTTTGGTCATCATCTTAGCATTTTAAATTCAAGTAGTTAAAAGTCATTGTTTTATAAGTTATATAAATTTAAGTTTAAATTTAAATTCTTTGAATTATAGTAAAATGGAGGTTAAGTATAAACTATTATTATTGACAATGAATTCGCAAATAATAGATGAGGCACAGAAACATCAAGATCAGTTTTTATTCACAAATCATAAAAGCTCTTTCTGAACTGAATCGACAGCAGTGCTTTACTCACACTTTCTAGAATATTTCAGACTAAGAGATTAAATCAACATATAAACGAATAATCAAAGAATATTAATAAAGAATCTAAATTACATAATAGAGGTAATGAAAAATAACAAAAAAATTGTCAAAGAAATAATGTAGTTGATTTTAAAATAAGTTAAAAGATGATTATATAATCAGAGTTTTAAAATTAGGTTTACATCCCAATATTTTTTTCTTGATTATAGATTATTTAGAGCATTGTATAAATCTATTTTCAGTCAAAAGAATCTTAAAAAGCTTCATCCAATAATTATATCTATCTTACGAAATATTCATAAGTGTTTGTTGCTGCCTTAGTTGAACGAAGTATAGATTCATATTATTATTTGGATATTTGGAAAGTTTAAAACCGACCAAACTATATAATATATTATATTTGTATTACTATGAGATTTACTGTTATTTAATGAGATGTAATATAATCCAGTTTTACATTTGTAGGATTACTATTCGTTTCTTAATTTTATTTTGTAAATAATTAATATTATTTGTTCTATTTAAATGATATTATTACCGTAAATAAATATTAATCTAATAGAATATGAATTTTAATGTTATTATAAGAGGAAACATTGATCTAATTATTAAAATCATAAATAGATGAATATTCTAAATTCATAAATACAAAAATAAATCCTTGAGACCCAAGAAATGATATGTCAAAATCATAAAAGTTAAATCGTTGCTGTAGATCTGGATGTATCAGAAAATGGGTAATGTTAATATTTGTGCAGCAACTTTTTAGTTGAGAAAATGAATAGTAATAAAATATCAACTATCGAATAAACAAAGGAAAGAATATAGTCTCTGAAAATACAAAAATAATAAAATAAGACTAAAGAGATACAATAAAGGTTGGACTAATTCAAGAAAATACTTGATTAAATAATGGACTATAAATGTAATGTAGATGGTGTTTTAGAAAAGATCTATAGTTAAATTAAAGCTCAAATATTTGCAATTTAAAAAGAAAAATCATCCTAATCAGAAACATATTAATCCATGTATAATTTTTAGGATGATGTTAAATTTTTATCTGATTATCTTTCAACAGACCCTTTACATAAATAATTGGAGTTTCAATAAGATAACTAGTTTATTGATTAGATTTTTAGTTAATTTGAACTTTTATTTAATAACGCTTCGTATTTCTAAACAATCCACACTTTTAAGGATGCTAAACAAAAAATCAATGAATTAAATGAGAATATGAAATTTTAATTAGTGAGTTCACAAAGTAAAAATAATTAAGTAAATTTAATTACTTTATTAGAAAACACCTACTTTAAGCATAGTTTGCCCAACTCATTAAAAGGAAATTATAATGATCGACATAGAAACTAAGAATAGAAATATTGAAGATAGATTTGCATGTGTCGATTGTATTAGTGATCGTCCACATTATTAATACAGAACAATAGAAAAAGTAAATTAGGAATGGAACCATGCAAAAAACCAATAAGATAGGTTTATAAACGACTTGAAGACCAAGAGGGAAGAAAAATATCAAAATTTGAATAAATAAATTGCTAGAATGAGAAAGAACTACAACTAATAGCTTAATGATATAAGTGATAAGATCATTGCAGAATTTTCTTAACCAATAACTAAAACAGTAGAGATATGTAAATTAAACTAATCCACTATTCAAGGATTTAATCAAGATGAATTGGTTTCAAGTATTGGTTATTTGATTCAGTACGATAAAGAAAATCTGATTTAAGATTCAAAAATTGAATATATAAAATCTAAGGATTCTTTATTATCAAAAGAAATTGAAACAAGATTGGAACACTTAAAATAGCATGATTAATTAGACATTTAAGAGTCATTAAATATTTTGCAGGATATATCAAGTATTCAAAATTTATAAT